TTTTTTTTTTTTTTTTGGTTTGTGAAACATAGAAAGTTGCGGGGAAAAATTTTTTGAAATTTTTTTTTTTTGGGTAAAATAATAGATGAAGTGAAATTGAAGATTTATGATGATGATCATAAATCTTGAACATTGGTATTGAGAAAAAGAAGAGAAATGTTCCAAGATGAACAGACAATGAGAGAGAGAGAGAGAGAGAGAGAAAAATGTCCAGAAAGACATTTGTTCTGTGTTTTTGTGTGTGTGTGTGTTCCATAATTTGTTCATTATAATGAAAATTGTTACTAATGATGATAAAATGCATGTACGCCCCTTAATCTGCAACAACAACAAACAACAACAACAACGACAACGACAACAAATGAATGATGGATTTAAAACGAGCGCGCCAAATATTTTAAAGATGTTTAAACGAAAAAAAAAAATTTCATCTGTAAGAGAGATAAACACAGACAGACATATAGAACGAACAATTTTTTTTTGTTTAATGATTCAAAATGGGGGAAAACATGATGATGATGATGATGATGGAAGAGAACGGATGTTTTACTTTTTGAAATGAATAAATATTGAATAGTGAGAGTGAATTCAATGACTGTGTGTGTGTGTGTGTGTGTGTGTGTGTGTGGCCGAGAGAAAGTGAAGAAAAAAAATTTTTCACTTTTTTTAAAGGTTCCAAAATAAAATTCACATTCAATTTTTTTGAATCATTCAGTTACCGGCTATGTTTTGTGTGTGTGTGTGTGTGTGTTCCAGAAATTGTTCCATTACAACAACGAACAACGACAGTGTCAAATGATATAATCATTCGTTTTTGGTTGCATGTGTATATGTCATACATGTCGATGATGATGATGATGATGATGATGGTGTGTATTTGAAAATAAAATCGACAAAATCAAAATGTTTTTCCTATTATGATTCGTGATGATATCATTTTAAATGAAAAAAAAAAATTTTTTTCTTTCCGTTCTGTTGTGTTATGTTTTCATCGCCATAATATTTCGCACCCGTAACGTGTTTTGTGTTGTGTGTGTTTTTTGCCCAAAATTTTCATTTATTTATTCATTTCAAATACTTATCAATCTATCATCAGAATGATTCAATTTTCATCATTATAATCATCTGTAAGTATTTTTTTTTTTTTTGAAAAAATTGACCATTTCCTGTTTGTTCAATGTTAAAATTACCGGAGAGAAAGAGAAGAAAAATGATCAGTGATCATTGAAGATGAACGAGTCATAATGATAATGATGATTGTTAATAAAATAAACACACACACACACACACATTACATACATTAACCGATTGTTGTGTGTTTATGGAAAAAAAAATCTAATTCTACAATTATATTCTATCATGCATATATCAATCAATCAATGTATGTTTTTTTTTCAATAATAATAATAAAAATGACTATAATGGTGATGATGATGATCATGACATGAGTAGTTGAATAATTTCCATTTCATTTCATTAGAAGAAGAAAAAAAAAAAAAATAACACCGTTGTCGGTTGGCTAACTAGCTGGCTGGCTGGCTGGCTGGTTTTATATGGTTAGTTTGATACAAAAATTATGAATGAATGAACGAAAAAAAACGAAAAATTTCATTTGTATTTCGTTTGTTACATTCCTCATCATCATCATCATCGTTTGCTTCTTAAACGAATATATATATAATAAGAAACGGAACACACGATTACATTCATTCCCATCATCATCATCATGATATATTATACACCGTGCATGGCTATATTATGATATATATTCATCGGGTGGTTTTTGCTTCACAACAACAACAACAACAACATCAAATGACATGTAACAACAAGCATTAATATACCAATGATGATGATGATGATGATATGAATGTTGTCGTTATCATTTGTTGTTGTTGTTGATGATGAGCTCGTATACGAAAAAAAAAATCATTATTCAAATTGGAAAAAGATTTTCGTATTTTTGTTCGACAGCCAAAAAAAATTTTTTTTATTTTTATTTTGCCATTCTGAAATGGATGAGAAGTACACATACCGACATAACGACGCCCGTCATAATTTACTATTTTTTTTGTGTGTGTGTGTGTGTAATTTTTAATAGCCATTATAATGGATTGGGCGAACACACATATATATATAAATGAACAAGTGAATGTTTTTTGGTTGGATAAAAAACAAATGATGATGCTTTGTAATTTGTTCCATTTGAACCAATTTTTTTTTGTAATCAATTGAAAACAATCACGTGATTAATTTTTTTTTTCGCATGGTCATTCAAATTAATAATAATTGACACATATATAAAATGGTGGATGATTGTCATTTTTTTCTCACTTCAAATCAACATATTTACATTGTAGGTATTAAAATAAACCAGAAATCACATCACATCAAATCAATCATCATTGATGATTATTGTTGGTTTTTTTTCTCGATTATAATGATGTCATTGCTTTAGGATTTTTTTTTCTCTCTGATAGATTTATCGGTTCAATCAATCAATCAATCAATCGATTGATCGATTGATCGATTGACAGTAATAAGTATGGAATGAAAAATTTAGAACGATAAAATTGTTGATGCCCAAAAAAAAAAAATTTTTTTCAACACGGTGGTTTTTTTTTTGATTTTCCATTGACCATCAGATGAGTAGTTTGGAAAATTTATCTCTCATAAATCAACAAAAAAAAAAAATTTTTTGAATTTAAATCCAACCAAAAAAAAAAACAATCAAATCCGATGATAATAGGTTTGGTTTGACTTTAATTCATGAAAATGATGATGATGATATACCTGGCAGGCAAATGGCAAATAAAATGTGGAAAAATTTGAGGCGCGAAAAATCAGTTTTCATCCAGTTAAATTTAGAATTTACAGCTTAACAATTGTATTCGTTTGATTAACAACGCTACACAATACAATTCATTGATCATTCAATTTTATATTTTACAATCAAAAAAAATTTTATTTTCCCCCCCTCCTCTCCTGAACACAAAAATTCCAAATTAAATAATAATAGTTGTATAAAATAAATCCACCACCATTTTGAATGATGATCAAAAATGGAACACTAAATGGAAAAAAATGATTTGATTTTCAATGATTTCCTTTCTGTTCAATGTGGATTATCATTTGTTGATATCTCGATATTGTATAGAATGGTGATTTAGAAAATTATATCAAGACAAAATGAAATTTTTTTTTTTTAGAAAATGTTCATGACCGATGACATCACTTGATAGAATATGTCAAACCTGTTATTGAATAATAATGTATATGATGATCAATGAATATGTGAAGATGTGTTAGTTTTGTTGATGATTACATGTGTTCATGTGATTATTATTATGCTCATCATTTTATGCTACAAACAAGTGTCAAATCAATCAACTATTTCTAATCATCATCGTCATCATTGAAGTGTAAATCAAAACACATTCATCCAGGATCAATTTCATATCAAATGGAAAATCATTTTTTCCAATTTTTTTTAAGCAATAAAAAATTGAAAAAAAAATTCAACATCCGGAAATCATCCGGTCGTTGTGTTCTCCAAAATAATAAACAAACAAATTGTAGCCGAAAAAATTATTTTTTATTTATTTTTTTTCGTAAATTTTTTCCATTTTATTTTGCAGCCAATTTTTCGGCTTTGTCAAATTATGCAAAAAAAAATTTGTCTGCAATCGATTTTGCATAGAATCAGGTAATTGTATTCGATCAACAACAACAACAAAAAACAATGTCAAAGTCGAAAACAACATCACGATAATGTGTTTTCACCGGACACAATCCTGATGATGATGATGATGATGATGATGATGACTTGATTATTATCTCATTTTCATTGTCAATTTATTGATTTATATTGAAAATTATTCAATTTACTTATCATTAATGTAAACGTTTCGATGATGTTCGTTTTACCTGGTGAAACATGAAACATATCTTGATGACAATAATAATATTGATGATGGATTGGCACACACACACAAAAAAAAAATTATTCAAAACATTACAATTATGTTGTCAAGAACTCCATCTTTTTTTTGATTGTGTAGATCAAATCGATTAGAGATATATTATTTTGATGATCATTTTTTGATTTTGTATTGGATCCATGAATATTTTTGTTTTGTTTCATAAATATATGAAAAAAAGGTATAAATTAAAATTTAGTTACACATTTGAATTTAAATTTAAAAAAAAAAATTCAAATTGGGTAACTCTGAACCCAAAACTTCCGGATAAATAAATGAATGAATGGTCAATTTTTTTTGCTTTCATTTGCCCATACCCGGACCGTATAAATTTTTTTTTGCATGACAATCGATACTAATTTGTTGTATTTTTTTTATGATTTTATTTTTTTTTCATTTTTTTTTTGAAATCATCTTTTAGGGCGTTTTCCTGTCTCTATTGGTGTTACCATCATCATAATCATCATCATCATCATCATCATCGGTTATTATTATTCTCAACATAAAAAAAACAACATCAAAAATGAAAAATTAATGTCAATTGGAAAAAAACAGAAAGGATACGGTTTTCATTCTTTTTGTTGTTGTTGTTGTTGTTATTTCTTAGCTTTATTACATCGTTTTTTTCTCGTTATTTTTTGTTTGTTTGTTTATTTGTCTGGCTGCTCGTTTCCGGAACAACGATAATCATCAATCATTCATTGATCATAATCATCATCATCATCATCGTCATTATCAATTGATTCGATTCATCAAAATAAGAAAAAAAAGAAAGAAAGAGCAAAAAATCGAAAACCATATTTGTTTTGAGAATCGAATGATATATACGACGGTATATACAAATAATAAAAAGTGAAAACAAAACAAAACAAAAAAATTTTCAAAGAAAATTTCGCTTTCATACACAAACACGCACACACACACACACACACACACATAAAAATGATGTCTATGATATTCATTCCATTATCCGTTTGGTCATCATCATCATCATCATCCACCTCCTTTTCCTGTTCTGATCAATCATTTAATAATAATGATAATAAGAATAATAATTATAAAAGAAATCGAGCTTTGATGATCAACAACAATAGTAGCGATAAAAATGGTGGACATTACCCTAATCATCATCATCATCATCATCATAATTATCAATATCAATGGTGGTCAACAAAATCATTTGCCATAATGTTATTATTGTTGGCCATTATGGCCACATCCATTGCCGGTATTTATTCATTTATTCATTGTTTTTTTTTCATAATTTCTTTCCACTTTTCATGATTATTTTATTCATTCCCGATGTTTTTTTTTCCACCATGATTTAAACATTTATTGCGTGACAATGACTTAATGATTAGATTGTAGACTACGAAAGGTAAGTCACATCAATGGTGTTTTTTTTCTCTGGTCATTTTACCAATTTATTAATGTTTTAAACGATTTTTTGTTGTTGTTGTTGTGATATGGTCGAATGGTGAAATTTTTTTTCCAGTCACGTAGATATCATAGAACATCATCATCATTGACATCAATTAATCGAAAAAGTAGAGGTGTGGCAATAAAATTCACCTGTTCAGGACGACCATTAGGTTATTATGCTGATCCTGATTTTGAATGCCGTATATTTCATATATGCGATAATTTTGGCCGCCGTATTCCAATGCATTGTCCACCGCATACAATGTTTAATCAAATGTATCGTGTTTGTGATTGGGATTATAATGTTGATTGTCCATCATCTAAATCATGGTATCATGTTAATTCAAATAATCATGGTAATACAAATGAATCAACGGAAAGAGCCGCTGCAGCATCCGTACCAGCTAAAACAACCATACAATTACATTCAACATCAACGACAACACCGTTAATTCTAAATAATGATCATTGATGATCGATTTTTCTGTTGTTATCGATTGGACATTTTTTTTCGAACATGACATACAAAGCTACATCAATTATCCATCAATCAATAATTATTAAATTTCATAATTTTTAATACATGGCTGTAATTTACATGGATTTACCCATTTTTTATTTATGTACATTTGTCATTTGTCAATTTTTTTTTCTAATGTCCAAAAAAACAATAATCAGTTTTTTTCCATTTAATATTCAACAACAACATGTGTTATTTTATATTGAATTAAAGTTTGTTTTGTTTTGATTTTTTTTTAGATTTTATTCGAAAAAAGTTAAGTTATAATAATCGAATCATTTGAATTCGATTACAATCGATATTTATTCATAATTGAATCGATTCATTTTCTGATCGATAAAGATAAAATGAATAACCCTAATGAAAAACGACTAAATGAATTGAAATTATTGTATATTGATTTTCTTGAAATGGATCAAATATCGAAACAATTTAACAATTATATACAACGAATAAAAAATCTTGATCAAATTATCTTTGGTAATATATCCGAAACATTTCGTAGTACGAATCAAACGGATAATTTGATACCGATTCCATGTTCAATAAAACAAGTGGCCAATAAAATACGGAAAACACCATTGGATCAATGGCCAATGATAAATCCATCATTACAATGCTATCGATTGGATAAACAGCCACTGTTATTGATGAATTGTAATTACATTAATACAAATGATTGTATTGTTAAATTGATTGAACAAATTTTACCTGTTATGATCGATATTGACAAAGATATTGATCGTGTTCATTATGCATTACAGTTAATAATGCCAAAATTGCGTGATGGTGAATATGTGGCCATTGATTTACTTGAACAATTGATGGATAAAATTGAATCGTTTCAATGCGAAATTCAAACGGGTAATGTTTTTTTGCTTTTTTTGTTCCTCGAGAACAATTTTCATTATTTTTTCATTCGAACAAAAAAGAAAAATCTCATTTCCTATTCTTTTTTGTATTCGATATATATATATGTTTACAATCAGCATATGAATGGTTGATGAGCTATAATGAACGTAGAGCTAATCGAATAGTCAATTATATCCGTCATATTCATAATGGTGATGAACGAATCATTTTAAATCGATTTGATCAGGATTGTTTAATTATGTTTCATAAAATTATTGATGATTTATATCGTTGGTCAATATTAATTTATCGATTATTCACCATTAATCATGAACAATTGATGGAATACAAGAATATTCATGGTGGTATGACCATTATTGATAAGGAAAGATTTGAAAATTTTTATCAATAAGAAAAATTGATTTTACTTGATCCAAATGGTATATTTTTATTTTATCAATCAATTAAATATATAGTTCATATAGATGTTTTGATTTTGCGTGGGTGTGTGTGTGTGTAAACATCATGATATAAATTGAAAAAAAAGAAAAAAAACAGAAATAGCTTCTGATAGCAAATGTTTTGTTTTTTTGTTAAAAATTTGTTTTATCTGATCTCAAAATTTTCGTCAATATATGCTGTTGAGGTTGAGTAAATAGAGTGAATAATCAACGTGTTTTGAGTATTTTATCAAATAATAATTTCGAAAATATAAACTGTGCCAAACAAAGGGGTCGATGATGATGATGATGATCATGATGGCCATGATGGTGATTATTATTATCATTCATTATGATTGGATTTATTTAGGCCTGTTTTAATGTTTCTTCCACTTCCATAACCGAACCCAATGATTGATTGAATGAAGTGTTGCCAGACATTTTTTTCTCAAATTTATTCTTCGAATTTATTTGATTATTATTATTATTGTTATTATTATTTGTATCTTTCATCGAATCACCGTCATTTGTGTCAATTTTTTTCACTTTTTCTTCTTGTTTATCATTATCACATCCATTTTTCAGCAAATAATTTACTGAACAAATTGAATCCAATATTGTAACCGATGTTGTCCATTGATCATTTTCCATGTCAAAATATTCGATTGTATTGATAAATGCTTTACCATTGAATCCACCGACAGCTGAAATAGGCATTTTGATTTAGTAAAAAATTCCATATATAATTATAATAACTTACCATAAAGTCGATTATCAATAACAGCAACGCCTACATTAGCACGAGCCATTGTCATTGATTTACCATAGGTCCATTGATCTTCTTCTGGATCATAGATTTCAACTGAACATAATGCATGAATACCATCATGTCCACCGACGGCAAATATTTTACCACCAATGGATGCAACACCACATCCACGTCTAGCCGTTTGTAATGGCGCAACAAGACGCCATTGGCCAGTATAACTTGAATACTGTTCAACAGTATTCAAACATGACCACGAATCACATCCACCAACCGAATAGATTGTAGATGAATCCAATGAACAGCACCCGGTTTGATATCGACCAATATTAAGCGGTGCCATATCTGTCCATTGATTATTTCGTGGATCATATTTATCACATCTAGTCATTCCACGATTGCCATTCCAACCACCAATCACATAGATCTTTCCATTCATTGAACAAACACCGGCATTTGACCGTGCAACCGGTGCACTCTGTATTGATTTCCATTCTCCTTGTGATTTATCATAAACTTCAGCCGAATTCAATTCATCATGTCCATCACAACCACCAATAGCATAAACACAATTATCAACAACCGCAACTGAAAATCGGCCACGTGGTACTTGCATTGGTTGCAATAGTTGCCATCGATTCTCAACCGTATCGTAAAGTTCAACAGTTTTCAAACATTCACCACGATCATATCCACCTATATTAAATTGAATTAAAAGTTATTTGCAAATGAAAATTAACCAAAAACTTACCACAAACAAAAAGTTTTCCCTTGAAATTGGCCGTACCAACAGCACATCTTGCCGAACTCATAGGTGGTATTAGACAATATTGTTGTGTAATATCATCCTGATCACATTGACCACTTTCACTTAGGCTATTCTGTTTGGATGTCGATTCTTTGATTCGTAATGTGATGGACAATAGACAAAGTTGACCAGCAGTGATCGATACCAAGCCAACTAGTGTATGATTACCTGAACCTAATCGACAATTGGCCAATACTTTCCAATCGTGTTGATGATCTTGAACATCGTCGTCACCGGTCCCACCAATGCCATCTGTTGCCGATGAACAGAGTGATGATTCGGAATCTGATCTTGTAAAAAGGAATTGCCTTGGTTTTGATGATGGAACAGACGATTTAACCAAACCATTCGGTATATTGTCCTGTGACAATGATTTTCGAATTAAAGCAATTCGTTTGTTCAATTTTTTATAATCTTCAATCATTTCTGATTCTTCCGGTGAATTGGATTCAATTTGACAACAATCCTGAATTTCATTTCTTGTTTTATCATAATGTAACATTAACATTGTATTTCCATCTTTGAATCGATCCAAATCGAATACATCATGTTCCAATGAACTACGAATCCATTCTAAAACTTCATTAAGCATATGACGATCATTGATGGAATGTTCTTCTTGTTCTGAATTTAATAAAAATTCAATTTTTATCTGTGTTAATTGTGAATCGATAAAACTTGATGATTCGACTATTTGTTCAAAATGTTGTCGTATGAAAACATCGATTGATTGCAAAAGGCTAACATCGTTCAAAACAGCTTTCATATTACGAATTTCCAAACAATTTTTAGCCGATAACATTGAAAGAATAATTTGACCACATTTATTTGCCACATTGGTCATTTTCAATCGTGAAGCAATGGAATAAATTTCTCGTACTTTTGATTCAGGAATTTTCAATGTAGCCGTATAAGCATAATCGATGATCAAACCGAATGCTTCGGGATCGGATTCAAAATTTGTAGCGGAAACCAAACGAAATTGTTGCGGTACATTTAAAGTATTGATCGATTGTAATGAACCATTCATGTTGCCATTGTTAGTGATGTTTGGCTGATATTCATGATTCATAAACATTTCAAAAAGATAAGTACTCGAACTGGACAAGACAACTTTATGGGCATATATTTCATGTATGTCTTGATGATTGGTTCCAATCTGTGGACATGAAAAATGAACATTAATTATTATTATTAATAGATTCAAACAATAGTCATTACCTGTAGAATGACATCACAGAATTGTCGATTCTTACGTAACATGTTTAGATTTTCCAACATGGCCGAACGATATTGATCATCATTGAATAAATGAATTTTTTGGCCTTTATTATCTTTAATAACAATAGTTTCGTCATTCCAATCGATTGATGCCATTTTTTTTATCTTCTCATCAATTTTTTTTTTCGTATTGAAAATTTAAAATCGTAGTAAAAAGGAAAATTTTCCATTAAAAAAAATAAATGAACATAACAGTAAAAACATTTCAAATAAATGGAATGTTAAATGATGATGATCATGATTGCTCATTCAGTATGATCATGATTATTGATCATGTGGGGAGGGGGGTGTTCAATTTTTCTGTTTTTGGAAGAAAAACCGAAAAAAACAGTATTAAAAATCAATGAACACAAAAATTAATAATTCACATGTGAAAATACATCATTACATTCTACGTACCCAGGTTTTTTTTCGTTGTTGTATATATAGAGTGTGTGTAGATTAAAATTCATAGAAAAAAAAATTTAATTTTATTCCCGTTATTGAATCAGATTCGGGCACATTTAAAATTTGTTGATGATCATTTCTTGTGTGTGTGTGTATATGTAAAAATAAAAAATTTTCAAAGCTCAATGTAAACGTTTCACGTTTTTTTTGTTTCTTTTCATTTTAATTTTCTATATACCACATTTTTTTTCTCGTGCACATCGAAATGAAATTGAAATTCACACATATTTAAAACAGAGACACACATGTACACAAAATGAACAAATGGCAAACACACGAGGAAATAATGAATGAATGAATGAATGTTGATGATGATGATGATGATGATGATGATGACTTGATTTTGAAATCATATACAAATGACAGACGACAAATATTCAAAATGAAAAAAAAACAAAACAAAAACAAAACCGAAATATAGAAAACTCAGATTCAAAACCAAAACCAAAAAAAAAAAAAACTAGATCAAGGATGACGATGAGATACTATATTCTCTGTGTACGAGGTGTGACTATCTTTCAAAAATACAAAAAACAAGAACAAATTATGATATCTGTCATTCTATTTGTCTAAATAATAATTCTATATATATATGATGGTTTGTTGTCATGAATGATCACAAACAAACAAACAAACAAACGAACAAACAAAAACAACGACAATCAATTTGAAATCACATGAACATTTTTTTTTTTTGTTTTCAAACAAAAGTAAATAACCATGACTTGGCTATTATTATGATCAACATTTTGTATTTGTAGTAGTTATTATAGATATATTAATTTCATTATTATAATATAAATGATTGACAATTTTTTGTTTTCTTCCAGCTCATAATAACGATGATGATGATGATGATGATGAAACGAAATAATAAAATCGATTATTGATTATTGATTTCATCATGAGGAATATATGAAATTCATTTGAAATATTGTCGAATTCTATTATAAACGCTGTCGTTGTTGTTGTTGTTGTTGATGATGATTATATTATTGTAAATTAAATTTTGATTGCTTTTTTTTTAGTAGTATAGTTGATTGTTTTTCTGACTCGTAAATGAAATGTCTACCATGTTGATATTTTTTTTTGTTGATCTTTTCAAGGTTTTTTCTTTTGGTTATTGTATTGTTGATGGTGGTATGGTTGTGGTGGATGGTAGCTATCATGATAGCTTGATTTTTTTTATTACTTTCTTTGTTGATCATTGTTGTTGTTGTTGTTGTTGTTGTCATCAAACGTCGTCGACGTGATGGCCGAAATGTACACATTCTTTAAGTAGGAGTATTTTGTCTGTCTGTGTGTATGTGTGTGTTTTTTTTTCGTTTGATTATTCTTGTAACAAATGATGACAATTCAAAAACAAGAATTTTCAACATAAACAAAAACAACAAACAGAATAGAATGAAAACAGAATCATGACAAGGTTTTTTATTTCTATCATTTAGAAAATGTTTTTTTTCATTGTTGGTTGATTGTTTTGCTTTGAATTTTCAGTATAACAACTTATTCTCAGTAATTCTGTTGTTGTTGTTGTTGTTGTTGTTGTTGTTTTTGCTGCTGATGCTGCTGCTGTTGTTGGTAACTATCGTTGTCATCGACATGTCAATGTTGTTTGTTGATAGCGAAGAGGTAGAAGTTTTACCCTCGAATCTTTCTCTATATAAAAGTTTTCTTGATATTCGATATATGGATACATTATCGTGAATGAGAATATTCTATAGTCTGTCCGATTCTGATGTCTCTATATAAGTGATGATGATGATTCACTGGTTGTATATAGAAAAACAGAGTATTGCGTTGTCTTGGCGATATTATAAATCTTTTAATAATATCGCTATCATCATCATAATCATAAGATTCTTAATATATACAAGTTTAAATTTCTTATTATTCTCCACACATTTTTATAATTCTAATAATTCGATTTCATATGCACACATTGTTATAAACACATGCCATAAACACATGCCTCAATATCCTTGATGATGGTGTGCATGGTGTTTTCCAATAATTATTGCCATATCAATATTATTGGATTTTAGGTTTTTTTCCATCTTTCTTTCTTTCCCAATGCTTCTTCTCATATATATGGACAAGATGATGATGATGTTGAATTCTAAGAATAGCCATAACACTGTATACGGTACATCACTAGTCAAATCTTGTTTGTTCCAAGCATTGAAATGAAAAAAAAAAAATAAAATAAAAGAGTTGCTCAACATCATCATATGATTACCATTCACAGGCTGTAATCCATACATTTTCAACCTGACCATTCCGGTTGAACTGGTTTTTTTTTATTTGAGCATGTTTTTTTTGTGCTCGCATACACACACATTAACCAATCGAATATTAGGGAATCCGTTTAAATCATGAATATTGATTCAATTTCAGGATTCTTGATCAATAAATGAATGATTCTGTAAAGCAATAAAATTATATATTTCATTTTTTTGCTTACGTCATTCAACAATAATAAATATGTTCTATCACAATAATGGAAAATATGGTACAAGAAATCCAAAAAAAAAAATATTATTATTGACATAAATCTCAAGTTCTTAGAATTTCTATTAAATTAAATCTGTCAAAATTTTTTTTTTTCATTATCAGTTTGATTACAATTATTACATCTGTCAACGCTGTTTGACGACAGATTGTCAATCATCATCAGACATTTTTTTCCATTTTCTATGATGATAATTGATTGTTTTATCATCCACACATTGATACCTGACTTTTTGTGATATTGGATTGAGAAATGATAACATAAAAAAAAACATTTTCATAACACTTTTATTTGAGATTTGATTAGAGTCTTTTTTTTCAATTAAAAAAGAAAAAAAAATGTCGTAGCTCATAATGGTAAAGATTTTGTTACCAATATCAATAAGGAGGACATTTTAGTGTTAGTATGGTTTGATTTTGTTTTTGTTGTTTTTGTTCATTCCAATCAAAATTGAATAGAATTTTTTGGACAAATTTTTTTTCCATTCTCAAAATGAATGAAAATACAATCAACGATGAGAATGGTGTCCCATCATCATCATCATCATCATCATTACCACCATGGTTTCATGAATTACAACAAGACAAAGACAAAAACAATCATCATCATCAACAACAACAACAACAACAACAACGACGACAACAATCTTTGACAAAATTATTGTCAATTATTCGTAACAATTCAAATAATGATAGTGATGATAACAATATAAAGGTCCATCATCATCATCATCCACTTGGTTATTCACCAACATTAAACGGTCAGTAATGGAGAAAAACAATTGAAGAAAAAAAAATTGATGCAAATTGGAACAAAAATTTTTTTTTACCGCTTTTTTTTGTTCCATTCATTCTATTTTAATGTTGACACTAACCATTTTGTTCTAGTTTATTTAGTTCTTTTTTCTTTTCGCTTTTTTTGTTGTTTGTTTGTTCATTTTTCAGCATTTTTTTTCTCTACTTATTATCCAAATGATCTTTTTTTCGCCTCTTTTCAAATTAATTGATAATATATATTGATTGTTATTGATTTTATCGATCTCAATACATGTATTGATTGATTATTTGGTCACCACACAGTGATTATATTCATTATTCGTGTTGGTGGTGATAAAAATACCATAAATCAATTCCAATTTTATCACAATAAAATAAAATCATATTGTATAGATGATTGGACGGGCTAAATGCAGGAATCATGAATAGAAATAAAAAAAAAAAAAAAAATTCAGAATTGGTCGATTGGCAACCACCAATCATCGACATATGTTCAATTGAGCGTAAAAAGGTCATCGATTCATCGTTTGGTTGAAAAACATCATCATCATCATCATCATCATTTTCAGGACATTAAAAATCTTATGATTCATTCATATTGATTGTAAAGATTTGAACAATTGATTTTTTGGAATAAAACAATAGAATAAATGTGTTCATTTGGCCTAAAGCCTGTATTCTTTTTCTCTCTCTCTCTCTCTCTCTCGTTGAAACAAAACAAAATTATGTTGCTGCCAATATTTTAGATATGGATCGATTATCGATCAATCAAAATGATAAACAATGAATAAATGATTTAGAATTTCTCAAATTTTTTGTCTTTCTAACCACCACCACCCCCCACCTATCAATATAGAACCTGATATAAAACCTGTTTATCATTCTGGCCATCATGAACATCGACAATCAAAATCAATGATGATGATCAATGCCAATATTGATCAAGATCAAGATCAAACAACAACAACAACATCAACGATTATTTCAACGGATCACAATGTAACAAATAAAAAGTCATCGATCCATGTTGTTGATGATGATGATGATGATAATCCTGATAATGGTGAAAAAAAGAAAATTTCATCAATGACAACAACATTTCAACAACATTCAAATTTATGGTAATCAAAATGAAAAAACAACAACAACAACAACAACAACAATGTTTCCATTTATATTTCTTACATATATACACATTTTACACACACACACACACACACACATCAATTACTCACCTGTCACCGACAATATTTTTTTCTTTTTTTTTTGTTGTTGTTGTTGTTGTTGTTGTAAATAGATATTTTCCGGCCTTTTTTTCATACTACTTTACATATCACATTCCTATTAGTGCATGCATTATTATTATACCCTATATTTGATAAATTGACAAGTCGGACATTCATTCTCATTTATTCTCTAATGTAAAATGGTTTGTCCTTGTCTTTATATATATATATATATCATGTTGAATGGACAGATTTTTTTTTTTTTTTTTTTTTTTTGATCTCCATAAATGTGCATAGATTATATTAATAATAATAATAGTAGTTTCACATTCATAGAAAGAAAATAAAAGAATCGACAGATTGACAAAATAAAAAACAATCCATGGATCAATGAATAGACAAAAAGTTATTATAATCTCAATGAGAATAATAGAAAAAAAAATGAATCAAAAATATGAAATGATAAAGAATCATTGATGCAGTAAAAGGTTAATTAGAATTTTCATAGACATTGGTTTCTATTTTACAGGATATTATGCCATTTCAATGTGAATTTGACCATTTTGCAGAATAATGTGAATGTGAATGTGAATAAATTCTAAACTATAGCCATTTGATGATTAACGGATGGATGATTTTCAATTTTGTTGTTGTTGTTGTTGTTGTTGTTGTTGCTATTAAAATTATGAACCAGATTCTGTTTGAATATGTGGATGAATGAACTTGGTTGACACTTATGATAGATGAGAGAAAGAATCTAATCTCAATTCTTCTTTTTTTTTTCTTTTGGCTATTTATAGTAATTACAGAACAGAAAAAATGCCAGAAGAATCTGAATATTCAAATGAATGTAATGAAATGGAAATTAAAACACCACCAGAAACAATGATCAAAATTTCAACAAAACATGATTGTCCACTACCATGGTCAGTTGAAATTAAGAATAAACAATATCAACCTGTGAAGCCACTACCACTATCATCATCATCATCATTGTTGAATGAAAATCGACGGACATTTATTCAGGATCTATTATATGAACAACAAAAGAAGCCACAAAATGGTAGTAGTGGCCATCATCAAAATTTTTTTGTTCAAAATAATAATTCAAAGTTATCAAATGCATTGGACCATTACAATAAAGACAACGATAACAACATTGATCAACAACACAATGAATCTGGCCATCCCAAAGAAAATGGCAATAATAATGATAACAAAAGCAAAAATTTCCAAGTCGTCTTCGTCAACGACGACGACGACGACGACGACGACGAAACACCATTATTATTACGGAAATATAACCAACAGAAACAAAATGAAAATGTAGAGAACATTGAGGTGGAGTTATGGCCCGAAGTAGAGGCAATAACCAAAGCAAAACAACAATGGCGACAACCTGTTGTTGTTGATTTCATACGGAAAAATAAGACAGACATTGATGACATAGAAAAATTCATTGAAACGGTGGATGTTTCATCATCATCATCATCATCACCACCATCACCACTACTACGACAACAACAATCACAACGATGGTTACCATCGACATCAAAATCGTTGCCATTAAAAGTCAACAGCCGCAGCTGCCACCGAGATTGGTACGAACGGCCGAATGAACAACAACAACAGCAACTGCATTCATCGTCATCGTCATCTTTGTCGTTGATTTTACAAAATTTTACCAAAACTGTTCCAGCAACAACAACAACAACAACAACGACGACACCAACGATAAAACAATTGGCTAATCTAATACGAATAGATCATCGCCATTCATGTTGTCCTTATAATTGTGATGATTATGGTGGTGATAATGTTATGATTGAAAATTCAATCAGTGCCAATAATAATAATGGTGATGATGATATAAATAAATTTGATTATCATAAACAACCAAACGATAATTATAAACATCACCGCAACAACAACAACAACAACAACAACGATAACGACAATAGTTTATGTGGAAATAAATTTAATTATCATCAACATTATCATCAATCAACGAAATCGAAAAAAATCTCATCAAATTCTGCCATCAATATCGACGATAACCTCGGTCATCATGAAATAGCTGCAACAAATACCAAACATAAACATAATCAATGTCAAAATAATAATGATAATAATCAAATTTCGATAATTGATAATCAAATCGATGATTACATCATTGAATTTGATTCATATGAATGTAATGAATGTTTAGCTGCAAATCATTATTATCAAATAGAACCGGAAAACAAATCCAAAGAAATGTAAGTTTCAATATAATGGTAATGAGAAAAATAATTTTCTGAAACATTCTGAAACATGGTGCTATCATCACCATTTGTACGATTGTTTGTATGATTTTGAATTAAACACCGGGATTATTATTCTGTATTCATTTTTTTTTAAATTGTGAAATGATTGAAAAAGGAAATTAACGAATCACTAACCACCATGAAAATGGCACCAATTTTATTTGGTGTTTTTTTGTTTTGTTTCGTTTTTCGTTTTAGTTGTTTTTTTTATCATTGTACAATGTACATGTGCATGTGTGTGTGTGTTTGTTAATTTCATTTTGTTTCATTATTATTATTATCCAGATAACGATCCATCAGCCACCAAATGACTTTAGCTCTTGTTTCTCTTTTTTTTTTTTTTTCTCTTAATCCACTCACACACAGAGTGACAAAGTTTTTTTTTTTGGTTGGTTGTTGTTTCTAAAACAACCACCATTGAAAATGTCCTCATTTCTTTTTCATCATCATGATAATAATAATAATATCATTATTATAACGTAAAGTCAAGTTTGGGTTAAAAGAAATATATTTGCTATAATTTACAAATGAACACATACCATACTTGTATGCTTAGGTACACAATTTTATTAGTTTAACCAAAAAAAAAAAAAAAGTTCTCACAAATCAAACCAGTAAGAAAAAAAACAAACAAACATTGATACACGTTGTTGTTGTTTGTTTTCGCTGGTTGCAAAACCTAAATCCAATTATTACCATGAAATAAATGAATGAACTTTTGAAGAAAAAAAAAAAATTTTTCAGTTTTCATTTGTCCAGATATTTAACAAACAATGTGTACCATAAAATGATTGAATGAATCAATCCGTTTTATGTGATGATGGTATTAAACGAAAAAAACTGGTAGCAGACTGGTACCAGATTATATTTTATTTTACTTTTGATCAAATACATAGGTGTATAAAAAAAATTCTTTCTTAAACAAATTAGCCAAAATAAAAGGTAAAACATAGCATTCAAGAATTGTGTATGATGATCTTAACAATTTATGATCTTGATTTTGAATTTTCATACATCTGATGATGATGATGATGATGTATTGGGCTTGTTTGTTTGTTTGTTTTTTTTTTTTTTTTTTTTTTTGTCTTCAACCTATCACGACAATGGTCACGTCACGAACGGTTGGTTTTCTGTTTTGGTTTTTGTTTCATCCTTGACCGCATCCATCATCGAAATTTAAAAAAAACCATCAAAATCTACTGCTGATGTGGTTCTTGTTGTTTGGTCATTTGGCGACCCAATTTTTTGTTTTACTATTATTTCAAACAAATGAAATAAACAAACCATGATGATGATGATGATGATGATGATACATGATTCGAATGATTTATTATTTGTTAAACCCCATAAACTATAAGTTATTTTGATCGTATATCGATTTTTGATCTGCAAAAAATCAATTGATCACCAGAATGATGGTTGGATGTCATTTTTTTTCCTCTGATTAATTTATTTTTTATTTTAATACAATTTCCATAGTCTATTGTAATTGTTGTTGTTGTTGTTGTTCATCTGAATATAGCCAATATTCATCGATTTAGGCAATGGATTTAGGAGAAAAACCAGACCAACAACCTGTTGCATTAGCCATATTGATATTTGAATGTGGGGATAATCTATCATTGTATATTTTTAGATTTACAATCAAATTAGAATGATGAATGAATGAGCCGAAAAAAAAGGATCAATATAGATAAATCAATAATGATCGATCAGATTATATATTGGATAGGAGACTGAAATAAATGAAAATGAGAAAAAAAAATTGAACATGATGATAACCATTTCACGCATATTCAATTATCATAATAACGTTATTTTAGTATTGATAAATCAATCTTTGAATCACTTGTTTGAATAATAATCATTCAATAAATGATGGTCATGAATATTTTTCCTATGAAATTAACCGTTTTGAAAATAGGCACAAACATGACTATTTTGGTTGATCGATCAAAAAAAAAAAATCATGATTATGCGGGAAAAATATCAAAAAAAAAAAAAAATTTCGACATTTCAACCAGTTTGTGATCATTATCATTGATAAAAAACGACAACGACAACAATTTATTATTTTGAATCCTGTTGTTGTTGTTGTTGTTACAATTTCAGATTGCACACACACAAACAATTGTTAAATGTTTGGATCATTTGTTCATTTCAAATGGATTATCCGGTTTAAACGTTCTGTTTTTTTGTTCATCTTCTGTATTATTATTGTCATGGCATGGCATTATATTTTTTTTTTTTTGTCAATCTACAACAGAACAAAAACAAACGAAGCTCATAACCATCATCATCATCATCGTAATATATACAATGATAGAAAGAAAGGTGGATGAAATGAAATGAATGAATGAATGATGCATTCGATTCCTTCACATATCTTTGTATTCGTGTTTATGTGTGTGTGTGTGTCTGTTTTAGACTTTTACTGTTGGAACACACACACACACAAAATATGAATCATCATCATAATAATAATGGAAAGGTAACCATCGTGATGATAGTTGATGATGTGATGTGTGTTTGTATGTTCATTTTTTTTGTATATGATAAAAAAAAACCAAATGACTATCATCACCATTCTCATCTTCATGACGATGATGATGATGATGATAATGATGATCTATTCGACAATTTTTTTTTCTTTTTCATGATAATAATAATTCAAATGTTTTCAATGTGTGCAATCCAGGTGAGATCCTCCCTCCATTATGATGATGATGATGATGATGATTTGTCATAGAGAACTATACTGTAAAAAATTCCACTATTCAATTCAATTGTTATATTATACATGCATACAATATTTATATCGAAAGATAATTTGTTTGCAGATATATCGAGTTCGTCGGTCGATGTTGTTGATGATGATGATGATGATGATGATGATAATAATAACATGTCCAGTCACATCAGTGATTTTACCAAATATTGGTTTTTTCATCATCCAGAATCATTGTGTGTGTGTGTGTGTGTGCTGTATTTATTTTTGTGTATATTTGGTGCTCCATGGTTAAATTGTCAAATCATTCTTTATGCAAAAAAAAACATTGAATATGACAACGGTATAATAATAAAAATCAGATTTGACAATCTGAATCCATTTAAAAAACAACGAGATAAATGATTGTTACATTTGTATTCTCCGCCATTATTTGTATCGGCAATCCTTCATTCAATCAGATTCAAGGATCAATATATATAAATAAAAAAATATTCATCATTTGAATTAAAAAAAAAAATCAAACAATGTGTTTTTGGCTGGCCCAAAATGAATTGTTTCAATGAATAATCATTTATTTTCAGTGTTTTTGTTTTTCCTGTTTTGTTTTATATTGTATTTAACTCATGAATCCAAATTAATGTGATTAAAAAAAAAATGATGATTATTGTCTCTACTGATCATGATTAGGATGATGATGATGATGAATTGTATTGATCATTTTACAATCATTAAGGATAGTCAATCATTTATTGATTTCAGTTTCCTCAATTGATTAGGACAAAAAAAAATAATCGTTTTAACTAGCAACAAACACTAATGGACGACAATCTTTATATTCGACAATCATCCGATAATAATGAATGTTAAGACGATTTTCATTCATTTCATTCATTTCATCCATTGTTATCATTACTACTATATATTCGGTTGATTGGCCGATCAAAGATCAATTGTTGATGCTATTTTCAGTTTTAATTTTATTTTATATATAGGAATGTTTTTTGGTTACAGGAAAACAAAAACATTCAATTTTCATTAAAATCTTTTTTTTTTTTTTAATCGTTTTTGTTTTGTTTGTTCATCATCGAAATGATTATCGACCATTTGAAAATATGGACAAATTTTTTTTTATAAAGTAAAAAATTGTAGTGAAAGCAACAACAACAAAAAAATTTTCTTCGCTAGCAGCAATTTATCTTCTTATATCATTTATACCACATTTGATCCAGATTATCCGGCCTTTTCTACACGACATACGTTGATATCAACAGGTTGACCGTTTTCCATTGTTTTGCATTCAACAAGTATGTGTGGTTGTCATTTTGGCCGTTTTTTGTTTGTTTAGGTTGCTGTTTGGGTTATTACTTTTATAAATATCAAATTTTCATCATTTAAAACCCATTAATCCATTAAGACTAAATAGATAGAGATAAAAAAAAAAAAATATTACCACTTTTCTTAATCAACCAAGCGAATCCATTCAACAATAAAGAATGATAATAATCAAACAAACACCCACGCACATGCGTATTTTAATTTTTAAATGTCTCACATGTTGAATTTGTTTTTTTTTCTTTCAATTTGAACCAGATTCCTCGACGACAAAGAGGACAACAGTAACGGAATCGTTCTGGTAATACGGTTACGTTTATCATATTTAAAATCTCTACTACTACTACTATTGATACAAATCAAAAAATTCATTTGCCATCATCATCATCATCATCGGCTATTCATCAAACAAATAATGAACAAACATATGGTCATGATGGTGATGATGTGTTTGTCGAAATAGCAACACATCAGAAACGACAACAACAACAACAACAACAGCAACATCGGTTGCAGTTGGATGAACTTTTTCAAACATTCTTGTCGTATAATAATGATGCTGATGATGATGATGATAAGAAATATTCAATTTTAAAAATCATAAACGATAAAGGTTGTAATAGTTGTCAACAAACATTTGATCGCTATCAATCAATACGATTGCCCACCGTTTTACATTCAACAAAGATTATTTTGTGTGATAAATATAGTAAACATTTTATAACCATTCCTTGTATATTAACGACAACTATTGAAAACGATAACTATCTGGAAAAAATGGTAGATGAAAAATCCGTTACACGTGTATTGAATGGTAATAATATTACCAATGGTGGTGGTGGTGGACATTATCATCGTAATGGAACCAATATAAATAGTAATGGTAAAATTACCTTTCAACGATCACATTATACAAATGGTGGTATGGCCATAAATAGTAAAACATCAACAACAAATGGATTCCATAATAATTCATCAGCTACGACGACAACAACAAAATTGTCAACAAATAAACAACGTCCATCTTCAGTATCATCATTATTATCAAATTCTGATTCATTATCATCATCATCATATTATTATTCTTCAAATGATTCGAATACAAATAGCAGTAGTAGTAGTAGTGGACAAAGTATCGATTGGTCATTAGATACAGATGGTGATAGTAGTAATAGTAGTAGTGGTGATTATGAATATGGACCAGGAATTGTACATCGTTTACGTCATAAATTTATGACATTATCAAATCAAAAACAACAGCAACAAAAACCGAATCGATTGCAGAAAAAATGTCTTTCAAGTATTAATGTATCGACATTAATAAAACGTTGTTCAAGTTTAGAAGAGTTAACATTTGAACAATTTAAACAACAAATACAAAAACAACAACAACAACAACAATCAATGATTAAAACAACGGACAATAAACAACAACCACAAAAACAACTAGAGTCAATAACCGCCGTGAATAAACGTTTAATTAATAATAATAATAATAATAATCATCATCAAATGGTGAATGGTACGAAGAAAAAGCTATTATTTATTCAACAACAACAGCAGCAGCAACAACAACAACAGGTGTCGACGACCAATGGACATTATCATCAGAAACCACAACAATCAAATAATTATAAAAAGAATGATACACAACCTCCACCACTGCCAGCACCGATAGTGAATAAATCGTATTCAACAACAAATTTAAATCATCGAACAACAACAACAACAACAAAATCATTATATCCGAAAAATATTGTACAGAAATTTGTTGAAAATGTTCAACAAAAACAGTTGAAAAAACCACCACCACCGCCACCACCACAACGAATCAATTCATCATTATCAACGGTAACGACGACAAAAACAATGATGAATAGTGGACGATTGTGCAATAATAATAATAATAGCAATTCTAGCAATACGAATCATTGTCAATCATCATCATCGTCATTAATGTCCAATAATGCAACTACTTTATCATCAAATATTGCAACAACGACAACAATAATATCACCTGCGGCCATTTCATCATCAATGAATTGTCAGCAACAGCAACAACAACAGCAGAATGAAACAGGTAGCCGACAACACCCTCAACATTACCTTCATACAACAACAATGAAACAGCATCATTTTATAGGAAAAAATGAAATTCCAAATGGTGTTAGTGTGAATAATGATAATAATAGTGCTACTTCTGTTACTACAATATCATCATCATATTCAGGCAATGGATACATGAATGGAACAACACCAACACCAACACCAACAACAACGACGACGACGACCACTTCATTGGCGAGCAATAATATTAAATCATTACAAACATCGACAAATAGCACCACATTATCATCGTCAACATCATCAACAACGACAGCGACTTCAAATATTTTATTATTAAGTACACCACAGCCATATATTAAACGAGCAAAAAGTGCTGAAACATTATCATCAACAACATTGAATAAATCAACCAAAAATGATGATGACGATGATGTTGATGATGATGATCAAGAATTATTGAATGAAAGTGATTATTCTAAATCTTCAACATTGCCATCATTAACATTGAAAGAGGATACGTCGATATCATCATCATCATCATCACTGACAATCATTGATCATCCACAACATCATGAACAACAAGGTTGGTTTAATAAATTGATTTGATCGATTGATGGGCATTGATTATTCTTCCATTCAAATCAAATCGATGATTAAAATTATCAATTTATATTTCATATATATACAAATCTAAATTCCCGAATCTTTGTAAATTTTTTTTTATCTTTTCACTGAAATCACAACACATAGATAATTTCAATCTGAATCGGGCAAAAAGCGACAATGATGATAATGATAATCAACTAGTAAAACAACAAAATAAAAAAGCTGATGTCGATGACGATGACGATGATGACGACGACGACTTCGACAACGATAATATTCAGCAACGGCAAATATTCATTGATGATCATGATGAAAAACAAATTACAACGAATGTAGTAAAAGATTTGGCAATGATTTCATCGACATCATTAACAGCAGCCATATACAATAATAATACTTGTTCTGTTTTAGCGTCAACAACTAGTTCGACTTTAAATTTGAATCCAGTTGTTGATCATAATACTACTGCTTTACAAACAACAACAAATTGTAGCGCTGATCATGATGATGATGATGATGATGTTAACAAACTAGTTCTTGAAGAAACTCAAACTCGACAACTTGAACAGCGACAACAACAACAACAACAAAAACAATCAAATATATCAAATATTGTCGATAATAACAATGATGATGATTGTTTACACAACATTCAACAAAAACAACATGTTACAAATCCAATTGTTGAAAATCATTCTGATTTATTGGATAAATGTCTGATAACATCAACGATAATCAACAATAGTGAACAAGAAAATAGTGATATTCTTGAAAAACAAAACATACGTATCAGATCACCAGAACAATCGAAAATGGCAACAATGATTTCAGCAAAAACAAAGACAATGACAACACGATCATCATCATCATCATCATCAAATGAATTACCGAAACCGGATACAGTAAAAACAGTTAAACGTATATTTGAACATCATAATAATAATAATAATAATGCTAATCATCATCATAAGTCAACATCTAGTCTTTCAACAACATCCGAAACAATTAGTGATTCTAATCAACGAATTATAAATCCATCAAAATCATTATCATCATCATCATCATCGTCATCATTGATGAATGTACGAAAGCCAATTATTTTGAATAAATCATCATCTAATAGTGTAGCCACAACAACAACAACATCATCACGATCAATTGCAAAAACAGTGACCAAAACGAATGCCGTGACCAAACCAGCAATAGCAACTAGACAAAATCTTTCACAAACATCGAATATTATTGCCAAACAACGTTTACAGCAGCAACAACAACAACAACAACAACAACGTGAATCAACAGGTAATTTATTCAAATTCATGAAATTTACATATAATACATTTATATTACAGTTAGAATCGTTCGAATTATCATCAAAAGTTTGATAAAATGAAATAGAAAAAGAAAAATTGGGCCACCTTTTTGTTACATTATATCTAATTTGACTTGTTTTGTTTTCCGTTCTGTTCGATTATAATCGATTTTTTTTTATTTATTGGTAGTTTGCAATATATGTGTGTGTGTGTGTTTTAATTAGTTTGTTTGTTCGTTGAAAATAGTTGTCATATGAATAGGATTCCATTTTGGCCTGAACTCATTCTGTTACTGTTACATCTAGACAGATGATTATTATTTTGATGATGATGATGATGATGATGTGAAAAAATCCATCCGGTTAATTGATGAGATTTTTTTTTTTTTGAGTTGCAATTGTTGTTTTCATTGCAAAACGATCAATTTTTTTTTCTCTCTCTCTCTCACTCATTTTATCCATTGATTTGATTGATTGATCTTTCGATCAATGATAATAATAAGCAGGTAATAAGAAGATTTCAATTATACGAATTTTATTCACGATCTATTTTGTTCATTTTGTTTAGTGTGTGTGTGTGTGTGTGTGTGTGTGTTTGTTTCGGTTTATCGGTCGATTATTATCGTCATCATCATCATCACCATCGTCGTTTTCTCCTTATTCATTATTTAGATGATTAAAAATGATGAAAAGAGAAAAAAAGGATTTTTTTTTTTTTTTTTTTGTTTCTGGCTATTATTGGATCATCATTGATCATTTTTTTCCCGTTAGATTTTTCTTACCGATGACATTGATGTCAATGATGGCAGGCAAAATAATTGAATGATGATGATGATGATGATGATGATGATGATTGGTATATTCATTCGAATCGATGTAAAAGATAGATTGGGGTGCCATCATCGTATTTGAAATAACAAAATTTTACATAATAGCTTGTTGGCTGCGTGTGTGTGTGTGTGTGTGTGTGTGTGGGCGATTCATAATACATGTGTTGATGAAACAAATGAAACAGAGATTGTTGTTGTTGTTTCCAGGTAGTAGTCTAATGAAAATTTTTCCAATGCTTTCTCTTATTTCATTTCTTCAGAAATGAATTGAATTATTCAAGGATATTTTGTCATCATCTTCATAATAATCAATTGTTGAAATGACAAACAGAAGCATTCATCATTCATTCATTCACTTTTAATGATTTTACTGAATGTTTTGAAATTATGAACAAAAAAAAAAAACAACATACGAAAATACCAATTCAAAGTCAAAATCCGATTCGAAACAACAACATAAAAATCCAAAATTGAATTAATAAACACAATGAAACGGAATTGTAATGGATATTCGTTTACAAGGCCAAACAAAATAATAATGAACATTTTCCATGTGCATTAAAAACATTAAAATTCGTTAATTCCAATTTTCATTCTGGCCAAGACTCATCCATGGCCAAGAAAAAACAAGCAGAAGAAGAAAAAATATGTACTGATTTCTAATCGTTTTTTTGTTGTTTGTTTGTTTGTTTGTTTGTTTTCATCAAATTATTTTTTTTAATTGAAAAAAAAAGTTTTCAAATTTAAAATTTCAAAAAAAACATGATTTTGTTTACAATTTTGATCATACAAAATGAATTCAACGATGACAATGATGGAAAGATAATAATTATATCGATCCGAGACGATAACGTCCTTGTGGATTATTATTATTTTTTTTTTGAATGAAATCTTTTTTTTTCCCCAGGATTTCACAAAATTTTATGGGTTTTTCATCTTCTTTTTAGATTTCGAAAAAAATTTTTCATTCAGGAAGTCTTTGTGTGTGTGTTGTTTTTAACTCTGCTTTCTTACCGTCTTTCTCTCCTGTTCACTAGTTTCGATCAATAGTGATGATCGATCTGTCTGTGATAAAGATGCGTATCGGAAGCAAACAAACAAAATCATAAAATAAAATGTAATAATTGCAACGTTAAGTTTTATTTTTTTTTCTTGTTGATGATAATCTTAAGAAAATGACCAGTTTGAAAATAATGTATGGTAGCAATCATTTTTTTGGGGGTTGGGATAAGGGGGAGACAGAGGTGAGAAAATGAATGAAATTAATTTTAAACTTATTTCCAAGAGAGAGATCAATCGATGATCATCATCATCATCATTTGATCATGATGGTTTTTTTTTGTTTGTAATAATTAACTAATAATCACACACACACACATACACAAACAACTAATTAAAGAATGAAGAAAAAAGAGCCAGTAAAAAAAAAATTTGAAACAATTTTCTCCACCATGGATCACGATCTGAAAATGTTTTTTGAATTAGAAAAAAAATTGATGAAATGAAATTGAAGAAAGGAAAATTACTGATTTAGAATCACACACACACACATATACATGCATGGCTGGATAAGTAGCCCAATTTCTTATTTGGTCATTCAATAAGACCGATGGACAATGATGATGATGATGATGATGAGATGGAAGTTTTTTCTTATGATGGGAGTTTTTGGTGATGGTTTTTTCCACTTTTTTCAACTCACAAATATATATACACACACTATGTGTTTGCATCCATTTCATTCGATTCTTTTGTTTATTTTTCATGATTTTTTTTTTTCTATATTGAAAATTGAATTTCCTCACGCAACCTGTCATTTAGTGTGTGTGTGTGTGTATAGTCCATCCATCTGTGTGTATGTGTGACCAAATGTGATGGCATCGTGGTAACGATGAATTTTTTTTTATATATAAATTCCAAAAAAAAGTAGGCGAAAAATAAATTGCTCAGACAACAATTCGATTCAACGAACGAACAAACAAACAAACAAACGAAAAAAAAATTCAAATAAAAACCAAAAATTAATCACATACACATAATTCGTGAGATATTTTTCTTTTTCGGACATTTCATTTCACAAAGCCATTTTCAAAAGTTAAAAGAAAATTCTGCAACAGTTGTATGTTGAAAAGGAAATTGTTTTAAGTAATGTTTGTGTATGGTGGGCACACAGGTGGGTTATTCTTTTTTTTTTTTTGCTTGATAAATGACAATGGAGCAAAAAAGAGTAACGAATAGGAAATGAATTAGCATATGGCATATAAAAATAGACATGATGTTTGTTAATTTTCTCATCGAGTGATGAAAAAAAAAAAAAATTGTCCCATTTTTTTCTGTTGACCCGGTATTTTGATCTGGTTTTTGTTCTTTTTTTGTTGTTGTTGTTGTTGTTGTTAACATTGAAAATCGAATCTATTTTAATTTTTCTTTCCATTTTTTTTTCTCATCCATAATCATAGAATTAACATTGAATCGAAATGTAAATGGAACGATAATCAATCGATCGAATGGTGGTGGTGGTGGTTTTGGTACCAACAACAATGTTGTTGGATCGAATCGTGTATCGACAAATAAAAGTTTGACTACTACTACTAGTAGTAGTAGTAGTAGTAAAAATTATCAAGCACCTAGACCACCATCATCAGTAACAAATGATCTACAAAAATCAAATGGAAAAAAATCCAATACACCGAAACTTGTATCTACAACTCCAACAACAGAGACAAAAACGTTATTATGTGATTTAAACAATTCAACAGCAACAAGTGATTTATTGTATAATAATGATAGCCAAACGAAAAAAGACAACAACAATAGTATGGTCATTGATATATCCGGTCTTGAAGACAATGACGACAATAACAACAATAATAATAATAATGATGATGATGATGAAAACAAAAAGATTGACAACATTAATGATAATGTCGTCATGGCCATTCAAAATGATTATAATCAAAAATATGACGAACAACAACAACAAGAAAATAACGACAAATCATTTCCTGTAAATGGTCAACATTATGATGAAAATGATTCAGTTGAAAATAATAATGAAAAAATTGACAATAATAATGTTGTTGATTCATTGGTTACAAAAAACGATTCCCCAATGAATCCAAAAATACAGACAAATTCAAAAAAACCTGTGGCCAATATTCGCCCGTTTAATTCTACAACAATTGTGAAAAATGTACAATCAAAAGAATCGGAAGCTAGTAATAGTGATGATGACCGAAAAGAATTATCATCGATCTCTTCAAATAATAAAATCAATAGTCATGAATCACCATCATTGGTTGATGAACCGATAAAAACATTGAAACCGAGCTTGTTACAACAACATAGAAATTCATTGACAAATGGCCATAATGATATTGTGAGTTTGTCATCATCATCACCATTAACAACAAAAAGTACACTGTGGTCAACAACAAATCTAAAATCCTCATCATCAACGATTGCTACAAATTCTACAATTAAATCATCAACCATACAGAATGGTTGTTCATCGATGGTATTTGATTTTCGTACAACAAAAAATGTAAAGCCAAATATTGCCATACAGCCAACACCATTCGGTGCTAAACCGATACCGAAACGTATTATAAAAGAATTGGTAAATGGTAATGGTAATCGTAATCATAATCATCTGTCCACTTCAATCAACAATGATGATGATGATGATACGGATGATGAAGATGATAGTAATTATTCAGGAATGACTGAAATTCCACCACCATGTGGTATTAATTTTATTGGTGAAAATATAATCATCAGTAATGGATCATTGATGGTGAAACGTAATAAAAATGTAAGTGAATCAAATGTTTTCAAATGATTTTCAGATTTTTGTTTTGTTTTGTTTTGTTTTGTTTGTAATCACTTCAGCAAAGACATTCAAGATCAAAGAAACTGAATTGAAAATTCAATTTTAACGGTCAACATCCATTTGCATCATGGATCATTAAGAGATGATGATGATGATGATGATGACATTAGTCATGGATCAAAAAGTCGGTGAATCGATTTTTCGATAGATTTGTTGACCTCAAGCACACGCACACAGACACGAGCACCAAATTGATTTTCATGTTGTTGTTGATTGTTGTGTATGAATAATTGAATTTAAATGTGTTCAAAGTTTACAAATTGAAAAAAAAGATATAACAAAAAAAAACATCTCTTTGTGATTGATATAATATATATTGGTTGACCTAAATCCGAAATTTGAAGATGGTGAAGATGAAAAAAAAATTTGATTTCAATTTTTTTTTCACTCCTCCATCCATCCGACTATTCAAATTTACAAATACAATTCCCAAAATCAATCATTGTCAAATAGGAAAAAGATTTTCTCATGAACAATTTTGTTTTTTTTTTTTTTAGATTTATATGAGAAAAGATAGTGGAAGAATAGATTCTTCAATCATCCAAATAGCACAATGGGGTTGACAAGCCTAACAACAACAACGACGACGACGACGACGGTAATGACCTAGTTGTATTTCGATTCATCATCAATTATCATCACAACCATATAGGATTGGTAAAATTTTTTTCGTTATCTTATTCTCCATGCCACTTTTTTTGTTTGACCATGATCAAAATGATGATGAAGAAAACAAAATATGAAAATAATCTTCTTATGTTTGTTTTAATAGATATTTTAAAAGGGGCCATTTTGGTATCATCACATTACATTCACGGTAGCCCGTGTTTTTTTTTGTTTTTGTTTTTGTTTGCTTGCTTGGGATCCATATCATAATAATAATTATGATAATCCACACACACACACACACACACGCGCGAGACTGGATTAAAAATTCGTTGCCATCATTTTTTATTTGACCATGTTCTTGTACGTGTATACTTTTGTGTGTGTGTGTGTTGTGGATAATTTGTTTATTTGTATGTTTGCTTCATTCACATATTTATTTTATGACCAATATTGGTCATTGTTCTTGACAATTTTTTTTTTACATACGTAAAAAAACATGTTGCTTCACCCATAATATTCTCTCTTCATCGAGAATAAATTCAAAAATTGAAATACAGTGACTATGATTGAATACCAAATATGTTCAAAATATGGAAAATGAAAAAAAATTTTTTTTTCTTTATAATTTTCATTTATATAATGGTCAGTTTTACTTTGCAAAATATATGTATAATTCCAATGAAATGATGATGATGATCATGATCACATCATCGTCATTATATGACCTCCCATTTCAAAACAAAAAAAAAACTCTTTGGCCTGATTTAGTTTCATTTCATTTTCTACGTTGAAATACTGATGATGATGATGATGATGATTGTTGTTTAAAAAAGAACAAAATTTGGAACAAACAACGTTGTTTCAACAACAACAACAACAAAAAAAATTGGATTCCTTATTCAGTCATTTTTGGCTTAAATTTCTAGACAAGTCAAATTTTTTTTTAGCCATCATCATCATCATCATCTTGAAAGTCATTTGAAATTGTTGTCGACAATCATCATCATCATTGTGATGGTGAATACTTTGCTGTTGTAAATTTTTTTTTATGCTAATGTCCAAGTACTGCTTCTTTGTTGTTTTTTTTTTGCAACCAATGTTCAATGATGTATTAGGTGTTGATTGTTGTTGTTCATCTCTATCATCACAATCATTGAGAGCAAAAAATTTCAATTCAATTTTTTTTTCTTCCAAGAAAAAAAAAAATTTTTTTTTTTTTCAAAATCCAAAAAAGACATGTGATCAATAAAACGATCAAACAATAGGAGATGATCAAAAAAAAAAAAAAAGAAATTGAACTGGAACAAATGATTTTCAAATATAGATAGATCGATGTGGTGCATGTAGTCAATGTGAACCGATTTTTTTTGTTTTGTTTTTTTTTTCATTGATCGCTAGTATATATTCCATTTTAAGCTTCTGATTGATTTGATGTTTTTTTTTTCTCTCTCTCATCTTGATATATACTGTTGTTGTTGCTGTGTGTTGATCCATTTTGATTATCATTTTCATAATCAAGCACCAAAAAAACATATTTATTGTTGTTGTTGTTGTTGTTGTTGTTGACGACGCCCGATTGTGTGTGTGTGAGTGTGGTTGATTTGATTCGCGATTGGATTTTTTTTGTTTTGTTTATAATTTTAGATTATCCTCACTCTCATTCATCATCATTGGATTTGATGTTTTTTTTCTTCTTCTTCTTCTGATCCTCTTGCCAAGATTGTTGATGATAATGGCAACCATTTGATTATCCACATTCACACCAATGGTGGATTTTTCAAATGAAATAATAAATAAAAATCACAGAAAAAGGATGGATGAATGAATATGATATTTTGATACGTGGTCATCTTCATCATCAAGATGAAAATACCGGACTAATTAAAATTTTTTTGTTTTGTTTTGTTTGATTTCAACAACACTTTCACTTGTTTGAACATGGAACGATAAATGATAATGATGATATCATCATTTTTCATTGATAATTATCATCAACATTGTTTGGGTCAAGATTTTTTTTTTGTTTTTTTTGAATCATTACACATGTCATGGTCTAATGGTTCGTTTTGTTTTGATAATTACTATCATTTACAATATGAATGTGATGATGATGATTATTATTATTATTACAATGTCAATTCTCAGGTTAAGATGATCAGTGTATTATTATTCTATACATGTTTTTTTCTCTGTAATGCAATAAGTCTTTAATTTTATTCATCATTTTTTTCCCATTTTTTTTTATTCATTTTAGCTTTCTGTACGTTTTGATCATTCACGACCGCCCATATTCGAATATCCAATGGCCGATGATGATGATGATGATACAGATGATGATGATGGTGATGAACTGGATAAAACAAATGTTGAACCGATAAAAAAATCAAATTTAGTTTCCAATTTGGTCAATACATTGACTAAATCCGATTCAGTAGCATCACAATCGATCAATGGTGCAAACACTGTTAATGGTGTATTGAAAAAATCATTTCCAACTGGTAATTCTTTTTTTTGTTGTTGTATCGCAGATTTATTGTTAATTTTTTTTTCTCAATTTTTTTTATAAAATAGGCAACAGTAATCTTGCATCATATAAACCATCAAAAATGTCCGGAGAATCTACATTCGAATTGGGTGTAACGAAAACTGCCCAAAATCATTCCAATCAAAGCCAACAACAACAACAACAATATATTGATGATAATGATAATGATCACTGTGATAGTATGAGTGATTTTGATAGCTTAAGGCCAATACCAATCAAACCGGCAAGCATTGAAGATACGGTACCATTTTCAAGATCAGCAACCGCTTCTGATTTACTGTTTTAATAGAACCACACACATCAACAAAACAAAACAATTTCATTGATTTTATTTATTTCGATGTAATTTTTTTTATCTGAAAAAAATAGGCCTTTCCATATAACCATTCCACATTTATTGTTGTTGATCATTGTTTTTTTTCATTTCATTTTTGCTTTTATTGCAATTTTATTTGTCATTTAAAATTCCAATTCTTTATTGATACAATCGTGTATTAATCGATTAAATTTTGTATCATATTGGATCCAATGCAATGCATTTTTTTGTAATTTTTTTTCAAATTAAAAAACTTTCAAAATATTTGAAATACTTTCAAATGTTTACATTCCATGTCAATAGATGGCGTAAGGTAGTTAAATAGCCAAAAATGATTCGAATTTTCAATCCATCTAATGTGTACAATGATAATTGAAATTGAAAATGTTTACAAACAAAATCCGACAAGATTATCATCGAATATTCCATAGACAACTGTATCAACAAGTCAATCCAAATGTATAAATTTCAACATATCGAATATAGCCATTTATATAACTACATCATGAACAACAACAACAACAACAACAAACAACGACAACAATATTATCGAAATGTGTCGTCATGTTGCAGTAACGAACTTTAATTATCCACATGTCGGTGTGTATATGGATAATAATGGATAATAATATTTTCATTCTTGAAAAGTTGTTGTTCAACCAAACATGAAAACAATTTCTATTCTATAATATATAAATGTTTACATTGGAAATTATGTAAAAAAAAACCAAATAACAACACAAACAACAAACAAATAACATTGAAAAAGTTGTTTTGTTTTCTGTTTTGTAATTCTATACATACGGTAAATATTTCTTGTTCATAAATGTATCCGGTTGGAAATTATGAAAAGAATTTTTCTCTATTTTTTTCCATTCTCTTTTTGTTTTCGTTGCCTTATGATTAGGAAAAGAAAGAAAAAATTTGTCCGATAAATGTTATTGTTGGAATTTTTTTTCTTCTCATTTCGTTTTACGCATCATTATTTGAATTATTATTTTTTTTTTGGCTGATGTTGCGATATATGTCAACCAACAACAACAACAATTTATTATATGCACTGGGTATACATATGAATAGATGAAAAGAAATTGTTCAGTCATCTAACATCTGACAGGAAAAATCACAAGGTTTTTTTTTCTCTTTGTATTTTCAAATTAAAATATATAATAATACTAAAGTCATCATTTTTTGTTTCTTTGTTACAGTTGACTCTTACCTTTTCAAAGGTTTTGACAACCAAGAAAAAAAGAAAGGGTTATTTGTCTGAATGAATTCATAGATTTTCTGCCCCTTCGCCTTGCCTTATTGTACACAGACCGCAGAATTCTGAATTGGAACTGAAAAAAAAAAAAAAGAAGAAATCAAATAAAGTTGATGATGAAGAATTTCATTAAAATTCCACAGGAAAAAAAATGAAAATTGAAATTAAAAAAAAACAAAATGAAGAAACGAATGACTGAAATTTGGTTTGTGGAAAGTCTCTATAGTTGTTGATCATCAGAGATTCGAATTTTTTTTTTAAATTCATTTCGAATAATTTATGGTCATGTTTTTTTTGTTGTTCTCATTTCTCTCGTGTTTTCAATGTCATACACTGGTGAAAAAAAAAAATACGAGGTCTTTCCGGAAAAAAACCATAAAAAAAAATTTCACCGATACATTAATTCTGGCAACTTCCGTCATTGACATCATTATGATTGTACACTGATTAAATGATGGCATTCTTTTCTTTTGTTGATGTTTATTTTCTATTGTCTTGGTCTAAAAAAAAATTTTCAAATTTTTCCATCACACACACACACACACACATTATTGTGTGGAAAACTGTCGAAGAATTTCAATTTCAATTTTTTCGTTTCTTTTTCTCGGCAACTGTCATCAGAAGAAGAAAAAACAAAATCAAAACAACAACAGTCTAAGTAGTTAATGGAATTCAATTTCAAAATTACTATTTTTGGATGAAATTCATATTTCACCCGAATGACATCATCATCATCATCATCATCATCATAATCATTACATTATTCTATATCAGATTCCGTAAAACATCTACGAACAAACACACTGAAAATGATGACGAAATCAACAATTATAACGGGCGAACATATTTAGTAACAAAAAACAACAACAACAACAAAGTTGTTAATGTATGTTTATTTCTGTGCTTGTTCCGAATCATTTTTCATCAATTTTCGGATGTCTGTATTTGAAATCTGTTTGAGTCTTTTTTTTTCATAGATTCTTTTTGGGTTTCGTTTGTTTGTTTGTTTGTTTGTTGTTTTTTTTTCTGGTTTTAATTTGTCATGGCCATAAAAAAATATGTTGTTTGTAATATTAGATTGAAAAATAATGGGCAAATAAAAAATCAATGATAAAATGTCTATGTGTATTTGATACATTTCATTTTTGTTTTGTTTTGTTTCATCATCATTATTTTTTTTTTTTTGACCATCATTGTGTTTCAAATCAATTATAATTAATGAGAATATTGATGATGATGATGATGAAGATGATGAATTGAATGCGTTCAACGTCAAAATAATGAGAGAAAAAAAAGAAATTTTCTACACACACACACATATGGACCATTATTAATGTTCCAAACAGATTCAGAATTTGCAAGAATAATACAATTACATTATTTGGATTCTTCTGACAAATTTTCTCTACATGAATTTGATTATTATTATTATTATAATTATTTTTAACACCAAATTGATATATAATCATTTATAATGTGTGTGGGTAATGAAAATTGAATAAAAAAACATGAATGTGATGAATATTAAAATCTGGCCCCAACGACATTACATACACACACACACACACACACACACGATTCTGGTCGTGGTTTACGTAAACAATTTCCCAATGCTAAAAAAAAAATTGTCAATGAGCCAAATGTCAATAATAAACGTGATGAAGATGTTTAGTGTGAAAACCAAAGAATGAAAAAAAAAATCGTCAAATCATTAGAGACATTTGGAAATTCATCTATAGAGAAAAGACAAAATGATGATAATCAAACACAATAGATATCAAAAAACAACAAAAACAACAACAACAAACCAGTAACAACAATCATAATTTAAATATAATAAATACAACGCTATTCGATGAATTTCCGACAGAAAACGACAATAAACGGATATCGATTTATTGATCAAATAAAAAAAACTACGGAAATTGTCGTTTGAAAATAAATCCACGAAGCATGGAAAAAAAAGTTTTCATTTTCATTTTCATTTTTTTTTCATTACGTAAATTTATATTTTGTTGCAAATTATAAATCTATTAGTGGTAATGAAATGAAAAAAAAAAAACAAAAACAAACACGATTCTTGGAAATTGATTTTTCAAAATATTAACTTCAGATTTCACAGTTTAGTTTGTGTATGAACACTTGAAATCTGTGCATTAGTTTAGTTCTTTTTTTTTCTTCGAGAATTCATTTTTCTTATTTTTTACAAACAAAAATGATTAGAATTGAAATTGTTTTTTTTTTCTTTCAACCAATAATCAGTTTATTGTATTTGGATTTCGGGCTGCCACAACTACGGCTACAACGACAACAACAACAACAACAGATGTTGAGGTTATTTTCTTTGAATCTTTATCACGAAAACTTTTTCTTTTCAACATTTTCATCTCCATATGAACAACAAAAAAGTGAAAATATTGAAATTTTTTTTTCTATCCACACATTCAAACACGTTCAAGGAATTTTTTTTTTTTTGGTCTTAAAAAAACGCTACGATTCTCTCATCACATCTTGCACGCGATTAATTTGTGTGAATGAAAAAAAAAAAAACAAAAATGAAACGGAAAAAAATGATTATGAATTTTATTGATTTTATGGCAACATGACATGACAGCTGCTAATGATGAATTCGGAATTTTTCGGTTTTTCTCTTTTCGTAAATATTGATTTACATTGTTATGTTACATCCGATGCAGAATATTCTATTGAATTTATGTTTTTTTTTTCCTTTTGAAGTTGTTACATTTCTCTTTAGTTTACCTTAATATTCTTGTTTCTATTGAATCAATATTTGTTTTTACATCCAAATGGAATGGAATATTATCAAATTAGTTTCATTAATTATTTTTGTATAATAAAAAAAAAATCTGAATATTGAATTCATAAAGGTTACAATGCGCATGATAAAAATCTAGAAAAATCTAATGAAATTCTAATGGGATTATTTATCGTTGAAACAATTTTTTATTCGATTGGCCATTGGTTATTGGTTGGTCATTGATTGGTTAAATGGTTATACAAAGATATCATTAAATGCTAATGTGATGAATTTAATGCAAACGCGTGACTTTTCATTTCTTGTCATTGTTTATGAGTATGTGTGCGTGTGTGTGTGTGTTTATATGTGCCCAATAGTCATTATATCATTGATGATAATAATGATGATGATGATGCTATGAACGCCATGTGCAAAACAAATTTCCAAAAAAACCCAATGGTATAATATACGTCAACACGGTGTATTGTGGGTACCAGACACACACACACATATACATTAGTTTCATTGTGAATGGTGCCTCTCATTTTCACGCATACGATTGGATTCTTTTTCCACATTTATTTAGTTTTTTTTTTTTTTTTTGGTTAGGGATTGTATATGATGTTTGGTCGATTGGTCGGTTGACTCTATGTTCATTTTAGATTGTGTGTGTGTGCGTGTTTGTGTGTGTAAAATAAACGTATAGGGACCAAATGCAATACAACATATAAAAATAAACAGTATCTGAAATCAGTCGACAAACAAACATCATCATTATCAACAACAACAATAACAACAACAACAACAAAAACAACAACAGAATCTAAAAACAGAATTCTTAGAGGAAAAAAAAACTAACAAAATTAATGAAACTTTTAGAATCAACGAATTAACTATAATCAATTAATTTTATCAACGTAAACATTGTGGTTGGTTGAAAATTAATGTGTGGGCAATGTTTCAGAACAATTATCATTAATATGATATACAACAACGACAAAAGTATGTGCTTCAAACTATTTGACATTATCATCATCGTCATCACCATTATCATCGACGGCAAAAAAGTTTCATCTTTTTTTCTGAAGAAAAATTGATGAATCAAGTGATTTGATTCGATTCATTGTCATCATTATTGGATAAGTTTTTTATGATTTCAACAATGAATGTACAGCGGATGTATTTATCGTA